CGCAAAATTTGAAATATACATACAGACCTGTGTGATATCTTTATAAAGTTGGATTGGAGTATGAAACTGTGAAACCAAGAAGAAATTTCAACCTATATACACTGATGCGCGCAATCCTTTTGCAAATATCGCGATGATCGGGAATAAGTTTGGGGGGTCCGGCATGCCCCCCGGAAAAATTTTTGATTCTGAGATGCAATTTCCTGCATTCTGGGGGTCAAAAATGACAATAAATTGACAAAAAATGACAATAATTGACAAAAAAATTTTTTTTTTAGATCACAGTGAAACTCGTAGTTTGATACAAACTGGTCGTAGTGGTGCAAAAGGAATAGAAATTCGTATAAAATACGGATAAATTGTAGTGGTTGGCATCTCTGGGAGGTGAAACGTAACAGGGTAAGGGTTACGAATATTTTGCGGAAACGGACCGGAGACAAAGAAAGGGAGCATAAAGCGGCGCGTTTCTTGCCGACAAGCGATATGTATTACGACATTGGCTGAAAGTCAGGGTACGGTTTGGAGTAGGCGAGGTACGGTCCGGCATATTACTAATAGTAATAGTATTAGTAGTAATACTATTATTAGATACAGTATAGTTACCAGGGTACCGTACGTTCCGGTATACCGGACCGTACCCAGGGTACGTTCCGGCAGTACCCTGGGGGACATAGACCCTATCAGCATTAGTATTAGTCAATAGCAGCTTGTCATCTAGATACAATAATGTAACCCAAACACAGGATAGGTTGGTAACATAGCCTACCCTGTGTTTGGGTTACATTATTGTATCTAGATGACACGATGCTATTGACTAATACTAATGCTGATAGGGTACGTACGTGTCATCATTCAATGGAAAACACGAACCATGTTTACAGTCCAGGAAAATCTGTGGTTAACCCTCGTAGCCAGAAAGAACTTAGATAGACTCCTCAACATCATGTACCCACAAAAACCTTATAGTTCATTCATGCCTTTTTGCCATCTTTCAGATCCATTGACTGAAGCTTTTCATTCACAGATAGGTTTTGCTCCGGTTCCGCCATGATGTGAGCTGACGCATAGGCTGACGCAACTCGCAGTCGTAGACCGGTACCCGGTCCCACCTATCGGCTTAGGTCTTTAGGCTATAGGCTTAGGTACCTTTAGGCTATCGGATTAACCATCGAGTAATCGTGGTGGGAGCGAGTACCAGTCTACTCGCAGTCGCCGCTGCCAACGCTGCTGCTCGCGGGCTAGATGGGGGCCAATTCTCTTTATTTCGGTAATAGACAGCTAACAAAGCTTTGTTAGCGAAGAGATGAGTCTAGACCGGGAGCCCATCAAAATGTTGGCAGCAGTAAGGGCGACACCTGTTGGTGATTATAGACCAAATTTAGCAACATGTGGGAAATCAAACTGCATGCAGCGCCCCCTTCCCACACTCAGGATATAGAATTGAGCCAGAGCGTAGAATTGGCACCCGGCAGATAGGTGCGATATGATATGACTACTAGGCACTTAGGATATGACTACTAGGCACTTAAAAAAAAACAACCTAACCCTAACCCTAACCCTAACCCTAACCCTAACCCTATCCTTAACCCTAACCCTAATCCTAATCCTA